GTATTATCAGACACATCTCTACTATGTATTCCTATTACACTGCTGATGTCATAACAGGTGAGGATATGCTGGGACTTTACAACTCCTTTAAAAGTTGTAAACTAGATGTGTAGGGATGTCTGTTCTAACAAAGGGTTAAAGATCTCAAGGTTTGGGTGTCACATTGTATGTTAATGCATTTACACAAAGGGAAGCACAGTGGCTTAGTGGTTAGCTCTTCTGCCTTGCAGCACTGGGGGTCCCTGGTTCAAATCCTGACACTATCTGCAAGTTTGCATGTTCTGTTTGTGTGGGCTTCCTGTGGGTACTCTGGTTTCCTCCCACACTCCAAAGACATGCTGGAAGATTAATTGGCCCTTTATGTATGTGTAATAGGGACCTTAGATTGTAAACTCCTTGAGGGCGGGGAGTATACAGCGGTACCTCGGTTCACAAACTTAATTCGTTCCACAATTCTAGTCGCGAAACGAATTGGTCGTGAACCAAATCAAACTGTGTTTAGACCAGGATCTCAACTGGAGGAAGCCATGACCATGTGTCAGAGCGGGGAAGATGGCTGCGATTGTGTTTGTCGCGAACGGAAGCAACATTTTAGGCGAACTTCCGGTTTGCGAACCGAATTGTTCACGAACAGAAGTGTTCATGAACCGAGGTACCACTGTACTGTGTAAATTGTTAGCGCTCTATTTCGGTATGTTGTGTGAGTGGGAAGACATACTAAATAAATATATATTTATATTAGTGGGAGTTTCTCCAATCTGACTGCAAAGGGGGAAATGCACTTTCAATCTGAACTCTGAGTAAGCAGCTGAAATGCTGTCATAGCATTTTTTATTCTGTTTAGCTGGTCTTATGATCCAGGCAAGCTTCCAAGACAGCACATCCAGGTCTTTGACCTCTACTGCAGCACAGCTCGTCACAGAGTACCGGGGTCTGCTTATTGCATAATGGAGGAGGAGCAGCAGCACAGTGATGAGTCAAAAGCCATTGGCATTAATTAAGGTATTTTATTTTAGTCTGAGGTGGTGCTATTGGTCATTGAGGATACCCCTCCTAGTGATGGTTCAGTATGGAGGCCTGGCGAGAGGTTAAGATTCAGCTGCCTATGGGCTTATTCACATGGCCGTGCATATCTGTACAGCATGCACATCCATGCAGAGACCTGCTGCCGGGAGGGACAGGTGCTGCATGTAATTGCGTGCAGCAGCCTTATCTCCCAATGCACGCAGTTACACGCAGACCCGAACCCGCACTTGGACGCACATGATGAGCCCCGTATCTCCATGTTTGCTGCCTGTTTTACGATTAAAGTGACCTCTGCTTTTAGAGGGTGGAATAGCTCAGTTTTGTCACAGGTCCACTTTAATTGCCGTCTTAATTGCTATAGACGTGGCCATTCCTTGACTCATAGGTCCCATACTAATGCCAGGGCAGTGACATCTCCTGCATAAACATTAACCCCTTCGTGACTGACGACGTACAGTGTACGTTGCCAGCATCGGGGCTGTTTAAACAGACTCCCGGCGACTTTTGCCGCCGGGAGTCATTCTCTTCCCATGCCCTAGCACTGGTATGCATCATGTGAGAGTTAGACCATGGCTGCTTCCATCTGAGGCTTCTGAAACTGTTTTTTTAAAGTACTCCAGCTCTTCTGTCACCTTTACATGTCACTGACTGAACATGCCTTCATAAAGCTATAATCACTGAGCCCCCCCAAAGGTTTCAGTTGTCTACATTTCTACCCACCTAATCCTCCCCTGGGTGGTGCCATTGTTTCAACTCTGGGTTCAGAATCATGACCCCGCATCTCTTCCACAGCCCACCTCCACCCTTTGTGATGTCAGATGCTATCATCTTCTGCCAGCTCCTAATTGGATGGAACCATTGGGTGGTGGCGGCGGGGAAGGGGAGGGGTCGGGTTCACACAACATATCATATGTTGTAGAGGGCAAAGGAGAGATGCAGGGCTCAGGATGACTCACGCGTGCAAATCCGAAAACCGAGACCTTAGCAAGGCATTACATTATATGTTACTGAAAACACTTTTTGTTGTGACAGGTTCTCTTTAAATTACTGCGCAGTAAAAATGCACTTATTATTATCCACAGCCTTGAATCCGTCCACTTGTATGTACACTATGCCAATTTTGGCCAGTTCTTGATGATCCTGCCGAAATTCGCTCAACGGATGCCAACAAGGTTTCGGCACCCTTCTGACTGGCATCCCTTGATTGAAAGATGCAAATCTTGAGCCGAATGAAGCTTGCAACCAATCAGCTGCAATCCACGTTGGGGTATTTTGACAGCCACCAGCAGCCTCTGTCATAATACAGTTGAAACAGCAGGGGATTCTAGGGCTGCAACAACTAATCGACATAATCGATTATAATCGATTATTATTGAAAAAGTTGACAACTTTTTCAATAATCGATTAATCGGCTTCCGATCAGTTGGCCCTGTTCACGGCTCCACACGCGCTGCGCGCCGCACCTCCTCCCCACCTCATGCTCGCCGCTGCCAGACCCGCTCGCATCCACGATCTTCACGCCGCACCTCCTCCCCGCCTCACTCTCACCGCCCGCCCACATGCACGATCGGCACAGGGACGCGGGGAGATGTAGTAAGGAGGAGCAGGTGTGGGGGGATGACAGCTGCCGATAGACAGGTCCGATCTCAGAAGCAAGTTGCTGGAAGACTGCTCAGGTAAGCCTGCACTTTCCCCCCACATGGTGCTCTATAATATATTGCTGGGATAGTGGGATTTGTAGTCCTCTATAGCTGATGGTACATTGTGCTGTATATTATACAGAGCAATGTACCATCAGCTATAGAGGAATACAAATCCCAGCAATACATGGGATTTGTTGTATTCCTAAATAGCTGGTTATATTCTGCATTGCGCTGTATAGAGGACAACAAATCCCAGCAATAATACATTATACAGCGCCATGCGGAATACCGCCAGCTATAATATACTATTGCTGGGATTTGTTGTATTCCTCTATAGCTGGTGATATTCTGCACTGCGCTGTATAATGTACTATTGCTGGGATTTGTAGTCCTCTATAGCCGGTGCCATTCTGCATTCATTGCTGTATAATTTTACACTTTCCTTTTCACTATATTGTACACCACACTTTTTTTTTTTCTTTTTTTACCTCCACCGCTCCAAGCTTGCTCCTGTGATGGAGTGCAATCTCAATACAAGCTAGTAGTCCATCACTGGAGCCACTTAAAAAAAATTAATTTTATTGTTTATCCGATTAACCGATTAATCGAACTTAATAATCGGCTAACTAATCGATTTTGAAAATAATCGTTAGCTGCAGCTCTAGGGGATTCCTCCATCTATGTTCAGAAGCATGGATGGAGGAATCTGTTCTATTTTCTTTGTTCAGCCCTCAGGTTGAAAGAAGAAAATATACCAGCGTATGGCCAACTTTAGCATTGCTTTGCGAAATACTGATTTACTGCTGATGTGTGAGAGAACATTAATATCAGCGAGTTGTTCCTTTTTTAGAGGTAAAACAATACACAAAGGGCATTACTCTCCTCTGATTCTCAGGAGGTCTGAGGCCGCCTTCACACCAAGAACGTGAATAAGGGTATTGGGTAATGGCACCCCAAACGTGGCTGAACCAACGTGTTTTTTCCCTGCGTGGGTAAAAAAAAAAAACAGAGCACATCTCCCCAAATTTGCAACATTAACTTTGTTTCCACTGTTTCCACTGTTGGCACATGATCAGGGACCCAATTGGGATCAATGATGACACACTCGAAATTAAGTCTGGCAAACGTGCGGGAACACACGTCCCGGTGATGTGTGTCCCCGCTATGCCCTGGGTTAAACGGGGCCTGAGAGAGGACTGAAGAATCTTACATAAAAAAAGTAATCTCGAATAATCTAATCATTCTGGAAACTTCTCCATAGACGTTGTACAAAGAATAATAAATGGTGAAGGTAAGGGCTAACGGAGGGGGAGAGAGAGAGATATTATGAGACTTTTAGTAAACATGTGCAGCTTATATAATTACATTGTAAGTTCAACCTTTTCAATAATAACAAAAAAATATAGAAAATCCCCTTTAAGGTTTAAATGACAACATAAAAGTATCGCAGAACAATACGCACTGACGGTACAAATACTTGCAATAGATTGACTTGAAAGATAAGTGGCTGAAAAACAAAAAAGCTTAGAAGGACACGTAGGAACTTGTGACATGCGTCTAAAAATAACTCGGAGACGTTGAGTGCCTGACGAGCTCAATAATTCCCACAGTGCGTTCTCAAGGGGACTGGAAACATATATAAAGCCAAGAACAAAAATGTCATACTGTGTATTGCAGCTTAGCCATCCTTCCATGTGGCGGCTGCATTCGTTTTCTACTTTCAGACTTTTTTCTTCACCTGGTGATCCTGCCAGTAACGCTTCCTGTGCTAGGGAGACAACGCTCACTCACTGTGCTGCGTGACGGCTCCACGGGCAATCGGCAAGCCAGGCAGCATGTATTGACTTGCTGCCTAGCTTCCTGATTGGTGGAGAAGCTGGCCAATCAGGAAGCCAGGCGGCGAGTCATTACATTCCTCCGGGCTTCCTAAGTGGCCAGAAACCTGGCTCCATGCTTCCGCGTCTCCTGGAGAAGGATTCCCTGCTAATCGGAAAGCCGGGTGGCAAGTCAGTACACGCCGCCCAGCTTCCTTAATGGGATTTCTGGTATCGGTGTTCGGTATCAGCGAGTACAGAAAAAAAATATCGGTACGTGATACCGAAAAAGCGCTATCTGTGCATCCCTAGTCATACTCCTTCCCCACTTAACAGTATTTATATGAGTGACCCTGTTGAAGAAATTTCCCATCACCAGGAGCAATAAAAACCTGACTGAAGCTCTAACCATTTCTCTTTCTATCCAAAACACAATACAATTGGGCTTTCATGAGCAAAGTGAAGGAGTTGGCTGTTAGACCTTCTTCTCCATAGTTAGATGTTGGTATCTACTTACATCCATGGTACGACGCTGGAGAGCCACCTGACTTCCCGTAGTCCTGTTCCGAGTAACTCGTGGACAAGTTAGGTTGACTAGATCCGCGGCCAAAATTGATCTGGTTGTTGCTCCCCGCCCCAGTGGCCACCTGTGCCATGCGCTCTTTGGTCTTAAGTGCCTGGGCTCTCTCGCCTTTCAACCTCTCATCATCCTTCAAGAGGCTCACCAACTGTTTAGACTTTTCCCGTACGTTGATCCCCTGGTCCTTGCAGTCCCGGTCTATATACTGGAAGTCTTTGAGAGTCTGTATGGCGAAGATGTTCTCCTTGCACTGGTGGGACACCCTCTCGGAGCCGGTCTTGATGAGATAGTCCAACAAGGTCAAAGCTTTGTAAACGTGCCTCCAGTTCTTGCCGTGGTCGTTGAGTCTCTTCCAGATCATGCTCATGATTTCGGAAAAAGCCACCACGTTGTAGGTCAAGTCTGCGATTTCCGTCATGAGGGAGCTCGAAGGACCCCACGGGTCGTTGGAGGTGGCTTCCCTGACTTTGATCTCCGCTTCCGAATAATTATTTACAATGTTTTTCATCTGCCTCCGGATTGATGAGGTGGTCATTTTTGTGCAGTTTAAAAAAATTTTAAAAAATCTAAATCATAAAACGGCTCGAAAAATCCGAAATGTCACGTTAAAAGGTAAAGTAGTAAATCCACCGCGAAATGAATCCTGCGAGTCCACACATCAGAAGGAGCGTGATCCAATTTTCGGGAAAAGCATCTCCTCACCCCTCGAACATTTTTAGACCCTACAAGCTAAAAGAAGAAAGAGACTGTTAATCATTCACATCTAATACAATGGCACATCCAGAATACAGCTTCCCTCAGGCTAGCCTTCTATCCCAGCGTATGTTTTTAGATTTTGCTAGTTGCCACTGGTGACCAAATCTAAGATGAGTCCTACCCCTGAGGATAAGGCCTGCATACTCACCTCTGTCCAATAATAATGCCCTTACGATCCAATAGGCCATATGAGCCAGGGCCCCTTGCCTCCAACACTCTGCCCCAGTACTACTCTCAAGAGCTTTCAGCCCTGATGCAAGCAGTGGGCTGGCTTTGGGAGGAGTTATGCAAATATCAAAATGCTTTGATGGGTGAATGTCAATCTGAAGGAGTGGGTGATCCTAGGCAGGCTGCATCTGCATGTCAATGCCAACATGTGATGCTGAGCCACCATTATTGAATGGAAGGGGCAGGGACAGTCAGGCTGGGAAACAAAGGACTAGATCAGGGGTAGCCAAACTCCGGCCCTCCAGCTGTGGTGGAACAACAGATCCCATGAGGCAGTGCAAGACTCTCACAGACATGACTCCTGGAGAGAGATGCATCATGGGATTTTTAGTTTCACCACAGATGGAGGGCCGCAATTTGGCTACCACTGGACTAGATGATGCTGCACAGGGCCGTCTCTACCTTATTCGTTTACTGAGGAGGCCAGGAGAAGGGGGAAACGGTGGGTTAGTGCGGTTTGGAACCCTCCGAGCTATCAAGTTCGGAGAAGGGGGGTGGGGTTTGGGCCGAGCTGTCAGCCGGTGGGAGCCAGCAGCAGGGGTTGCTGTTAGTTGCCCCTGTTGTCACCCTCCCATATCTGCTGCCCCCCTCCCCATTTTAGGACGCCCCTAAAATACGGAGGGTTCTATCTGACATGGTGCAGCTTCTAATGCACATTGTGAGAGCTCACAGTGTGCAGTGAAATCAGAGTAAGCCATTTTAGTCCAGGAGAGGAGCTGGTACTGCGGGATATGGGTGCCATAAGAGACAGAGGTCACTGCTTCTTACAGATGCATAATGACCAACGGTCAGCAAAGGTCCCTTAGGGCTCATGTAGATGGGCGTAGCTTTGCCTGCAATTTACATGCTTTTATGGAAAAGTTTCCTTTAACAAATCTTAGTTCCTAACATGTCAGTTCCCGATTAGATTTGTGCTGTTCCCTATTTAGTCCCAGTTGGTCATTTGCAACAACAAACACAGCTGTAAAGGTATGGAAATGGCAGAGGCGAGACATGTTTGCAGTCTAATGGTCTACTAGACACCTGCCCTCTTCCATCTGCGAGGGGACTGTTGGCCCGGTGCTCTATTGAATTCTCCAACTGGTCGAGACCTCCAACTCCTATCAATGCACCTGCGCAGCCACCCAAGCGAAGCATCAACCTCTACAATCTGCGATGCCACAAGCACCGACAGGAGTTGTGGAACTCGATCACAATTTAGAAACCACACAAGCGCACCTTTGGCAACTGGAGAAGTTATCAGTCCACCCAAAACTTCTATGCTGCAGAGTTAAACTATTGTATTTTATCTCAGGGATTCTGTTGACAAGTTCCCGGCATTGGCGTATCCAGGGTATGGCACGTGTGGCACATCCCCTGGGTGCCATTTCGGGGGGTGCCACTCCGTGTTTAAGCGAAAGTTTGCCAACCTATGGAGACAGCAGACTTTTTTTTCCCACTCCCCACCCTTCTTCCATACACATCTCACTGCCTGGTCCTTAGCAACCAGGGATGTTGTGGCCGGCGTCCCACCAAGCTCCTGACAACCAGTGACGTCACTGGTTGCTAAGAGCTGGCCGGAATGCTGGCCAGAGCGCTCCAGGTTGCTAAGAGCTGGGCGGGGAGATGCGTAAGGGCCATACATATTTCCCTGCCTGGCTTTTAGCAACCAGAGTGGGCGGGGAGATGTGTATGCGGACTCTTTGGCTGTGTCCCGCCTGGCTCCTGGCAACCAATGACATCACTGGTTGGCAAGAACTGGGCAGGACTTTGGCAAGGGTGGCCCAGATTGCTAAGAGCCGGAAGAAATGTGTATGGCCCTCACACTTCTCCCTTCCTGGCTCTTAGCAACCCGGTAAGCTCTGGCTGGCGGTGAGGTCACTCGTTGCCAGGAGCTTGGCGGGACACCGGGGGCACAATTTTTTTGTAGATACACGAACAGACAGGGACACCCAAAACTTAGGACAGGAACAGAGTTGGGTATTATAACAAAGAACTGTCACTTTTAGAGTATCCAAGACCTATAAGAAGCCAAGGGCCAACTCAGTCCATCCGACTCAACCTATAACCAAAATATGACTTTTAGGTGGACATCCCCTTTAATCCACAAAAACAGTGTTCACACAGATCCCAGAGCCGCATTGTCCAAAGAAAGCTCTTCAGTCACAAAATCTTTCTATCTGCATTTGTATGACGGTCAGTGTGCATTTGGATTTCCTGAGCCGGGTTTCAGGTCTTTATACATTGTCTCCGCGCCCCATGTTCAGATCCTGTTTTACGGTGAACAATAATGTGTAAATAAACATGCTGACCGCTCATTCCGGAGGAAAACCTGACACCGAAGATCGGAGCTTGGAAGCCACCTGCTGGCCTTTACCACTTTTAGGCCCTGACGGCGGGGTAAGGTTGGAATCTGCTGCAGGGGAAAGCTTATCACTTGTCCAGCCTCATGTCAAACCTAAAAGAAGCAGCCTGGCCTTATGCTGCGGCAGGGGGCGCTACGCAATCCGTATACGGGAAAGGAATAGTTAAAGCAGGGGTGGGCAACTCCGGCCCTCCAGCTGTTGTGGAACTACAAGTCCCATGAGGCATTGCAAGACTGACAATTACAGGCATGACTCCCAGAGGCAGAGACATGTTGGGATTTGTATATAAAGCACAGCTGGAGGGCCGGAGCTGCCCACCCCTGAGTTAAAGAGTCAGTCCATTCAAAACTGTTGTTTTTGATACATCATGGGCGGAAGTCACATGATTTCCCATACTCTAGAGGGGGTGTTCTGTAGTACACAAAGAAGAACTGTGCATGAGCGAACACTGCACAGGACAGCCCTGGATTCCTGACACGATCAACAGGTATTCACTTCTCAAACTGATATGACAAAACATTTTTAATGGTGTATTTTGTTTAAGGGAGCAAATAAGAGAAGTTCATTGTTAGGAATTGCATACACTCTAAAGAAGAACTCCACCATAAAAAACAAATGAAAAGCCCATTAAAAGATAAATAAACAAAACCAGCAGTCTGAAAGCCAGCATAATTTAACCCACTTCCACTGATCCCAGGTTGTCCTGGGCCTGTCCCCCAGCTTGTGACTGGACAGTGAAAGGAAAAGAGGCGCATTGATGAGCTTATCTCTATATCACTCTGCTCTTCTCCTGTCAGCAAAGGAACTGGTTCAGAGGAGCTCGGGTTCAGAGCGGGTTTGGTCCAAACCTGAGCTCATCCCTAACAGCCAGCATCATTCACCCCAGTTCACCATCAGGACAGTAAGGCCTCATTCACACGCGAAACGGCCGGCATGTACAGCTCTGCGCTGCGTACACGGCCGTATCGGGGAGCTCCCGGGAAGGACAGGTGCTGCGTGTGATTAGTACGCAGCCCCTTCCTTCTCTATGGGAGTATGCGGCCGTACGCCGCCCTACGCTCACCCCAAGTGCAGGTCCGTACGGGTGCGGGTGTCCCGGCTCGGACGCAGACAGGATCCATCCTGTCAGCGTACGAGTACACTCACCCGTACGGACGTGCACGGCGGTTGAGCGTAGGGTCGCGTACGGCCGCGTACTCCCATAGAGAAGGAAGGGGCTGCGTACTAATCACACGCAGCACCTGTCCTTCCCGGGAGCTCCCCGATACGGCCGTGTACTTGGCGGCCTTTTCTCATGTGAATGAGGCCTAAAAATGGGAAGCTACACTGCAGTCAGTCTCCTCCTATCAGCATGCTTGTTGCCAGCACATGAACTGATTGGCTCCTTGTGCTGGTTTCTACCTTGACACTCCAGCCCTGTTGTACAGGGACTGTGAAAGGTTGATACCCGGCCACAATCAGGTATGTACAATGCTTGTTTTTAATGATTACAGAGCTGCATTAATGTGTCTGGTATATCTGTCTATAGTTCAGGATTAAGTGATCTTGACTGTACACACAACCACTACAACTCCCAGCATGCCAGGCAGCCTCCTGGGGGGCTGCACATGTCCTAATTAATGTAACGGTATCGCCTGTCCTGCTTTGTCATAGTGTGAGCCAGACAGGACGGCAGACAAGCGAGCATTGTGATGCGGGGAGGAGAAAGAGAATACAAACTTTGCTGTTATACAGGAAGACAGAGAGCGCTTCATGCTGCGCTATAAATGGGGACATTCATGGGCTTTCCTGGATTAGAGAGAGCGTCCTGATTGACACAGCAGACGTGCAAACCCTGCAGAGATTGTGCGCATTGTTCTTTTCCAGGGGCATCCAATATCTCACCGAAGAGTCCTAACTATGTAAACGTAATCACTAAAAGCTCCAACGCGTCACTTCAAGGCCCTTTTCAGTATTAAAAATTCTGCAGCTTTTATTTAAATGATACCTGCCATGAAGGTCCTTGTTTCGGCAGGTCTGTTTCAGGGTGACAACGTTCTTTCCCCGTCTCACCAATTGCGCTCCTGTGTTGTCACCCTGTCACCAGGACTGCCAGTGGAGACTACCTGTTTTATTGCATATTCGCAGGCATGGTCCACTGTTGTCACCATCAGGAAACCTGCCCTGAAAATGCTATGCAGCCATTTCTGGAGTACATGTAGAAAGGAAGAGGCTGCAGGAGACGAGCAGCATCAAGATGCAACAAATCATAACAAA